CGCAAGCAAGGAATTCACCTCTGGTTGCTCATCGTTTGTGCCTATGTCGAATCACCGTCAAAGGCCATGATCTTGTACGACTTGACGGTAGCTAGCAGGATTCACGAATTTTCCGTTGCCAGCGCAGCTGCCGTGCACCCCGAAGGAAGCAGCTGTTTTCAGCTTTGACACCTTTTCGATACCTAGCTGCCATGCTACCCGGAAGAAGCACGGAAACTGAGATGTCGCTAGGTTGCCCGTGCTGATGCAATAGAAAAGTCAGGACTAGGTTTGAACCACGGGCCTTCCGACCAATGGTTTCGCGGAGCTATCCGGAGCTCAGTCCCCTCTAAAGCTACCAGTCCTTACTTCCAAATTCCTCGTCGATGTCCTACTTTGTGGTGTCACATATGTCCATTCATTCTCCCGTCAGCATTACTGGGTAATAAGTATTTCAACTGATTGGGAGTTACGCTTGGTAGCGGAGCAACACTTTACTATGGAAGTGTAGGTCGTTGCTTTGCAATTGCGGAACTTGTATTGTTCCTATTCGGTTTGATGTGTATTCAGCAGGCTCCCATCAGTTTAGAACAAAGTGGACAGCTTTACTCATACAATTTGTTATTTAGAGCATTGCAAACATGTCACTTATGGTGAGCTTTGGCCTCCCAATAGACGGACGTAATTTCGTGGTGATACCGAACAGGAGGTATTCGCTTGAGAATCATCTTTGAATAATAACCTGGGATTAAGCCTGAGTCGCGTCATCTCCTTAATCTCCACCGATCAACGATCTTAAAAGTGGTTTCACTACTCCCTCTGCTCTTCGGCATGAGCAACACAGGCTGACATGAATTACCTCGCTACTCCCTCTGCTCTTCGGCATGAGCAACACAGGCTGACATGAAAGTACCTCGATGAGCAAGGCTTGAATTAAATTCAGCTAGCACATGAGAATTCAATCGGTGCACCATCATAGTGACTACTTCAAATCCTATAAGGAACGTTGTGGTGTAAACTAGCATTCCACTGGCCACACAAGTAAATGACCTTACATTTGATGCCTACATTCAGACGAGTCTGACTTTCTTAACTACGAAACAGAGGCGCAGAATCGCTTTTAAATTTTTTTTATCTTCAGAGTGTGGGAAACGATAACGGCTCCCCGAAAAGACTGTAATAAACCAGCGCTAGGCTCTTTCATCCACTTATTCTCTTCCCCACAAAAAGGTTTCCAAATGAATTATGGTTAGACAGCAGAGAAGCATCGGCTTTATACCCGATATGGTGTCGGTAATAATGTTTCTCAGTATATGACTTTCCTAACTGAAGTTTGTGAGATATGTGTATTTTAACACTGAATCGTCGTTTCTTTGCATTCTCAATTTGATCCTTATTGTTTTTTGGCGGCCTTCATATTGGAGCTGTTAACAATGCCAGCGACCAATTCAGGACATGTTTCCTGTTTCGTTCACTGTCCGACTTGACGGCGTACTAGTGATCCCACCAATTGTTTGGACAATTGTGCTTACGTGCGATGAAGTCACAATTGGATTGAGGATGGATCGTGGGCTAGAGCAGTGGGTTCAGTCGGAATGCCGTTTCGTTGGGATGCCACGGGACGATAATTACGTCCGCCCCACCTTTGATCCTAGCGATGACTCCGTGGTTAAGCACACTTGGCTATGTTTAACCATATATTCATCATCGGCTGCAAACCATGTACTGGTTTCACAGTGGCCCTGGATGCTACTGTTTTGTGAGAAATGAGAGTAGTTGTTGTCTAAGCGACGATAGCCGGTATCTTCTAAGAGAACCCAGGAAGCGACAGACCTCTTTGTAGGGAGATAAAAAAAGGTAGGCATGTGCTGTCACGGCGTGTGTTTTAGCCATGTCTGCAAGTGTTTGTAGCCGTTTCTATGTCCCACTTCCCAATTTAATGAACTAGCATACGTATTAATCGTCGTTCACATGGCCAGTCAACCTCGTCCCTCTTCAAGAAGAGCCCTCCTCAAATAAGACCAGTGGGATGTTTCCCATGTGTGGGTTCCGTTGGGGGTTCAAACCAATGAACAATGTTGCAATGCTGTATTCAGGGATGTTGACAGGACGTCTTCTTCATCTGATCGAGGTCGTTTGGAAAGGTTATACTATCGTGCTCAGTCTAATTTTTCATAGTTCTATCATCCAACGTGATGCCTTAATATGCCTTTTTCCTATGCTTTAGACTCTCTGACTGATTATTTCGTGTTGCATCTTTCGAGCTACTAAACTGAATGGCGACCTTGATACAAGATGGGAGTCATGATACCCGCAGACCCGAGCTAGTCTTCAAGATCGATGGCTTCGGATGCGATGTCAATGACGCCCTTTTTCTGCCGGGAAAGGAATGTATTGTCACCGGAACCGAAGATCGGTAGGTTCTTCTTACTAATTAATTCTGTTTGAGATCACTACGAGTTTGGATGCGAAGAGACACTGGAAGATTTTGGCCCTCAGCGATGGAAGTTCTGCCTAGTACGTGCATCCTTATTATCATCATATCAATTCTCGTAGGTCCTGTCACTTGTTTGACATATTGCTCCGAAGCACGACAAATCTATGCGGGTCTAGATAACGGCACGGTAGTTGAGTTCATTTTGGCAGAGGATCTCAATCATCTCCAGCACAAACGGGACTACCTTTCTCACACCGCTCGTGTTAATGCGATCATTTCTGCTCTTGATATGAAATGGATCATATCCACTTCCAAGGATCGTACAGTTGCATGGTACTCCAGCGAAACAGGAAAGCACTTGAGCGGTTACCAATTGGAGGCCGCTGGCACATGTTTGGAGTACGTCACTTACGCCTTTATTTTTCTGCCTCCTGTCCTGCTCATTTCATTTGGTGGTCACATTTGTACAGCTGATTTTTTTTAATTATCCTATTTTATGTTGTGCACCCATAGCATCAGCGATAATTTGTTCTTGTACTGCTGGCAAAACTCATAAAAAGGACCTTTGAGTTGAGGCTTCCGTGTTCTTATGGCCAAGCTTTGGTTAGTTTTAGACTCGTTGATTTTGTGATCGGTGGGCCTGATTCTTCTGTTCAACCTGTACACAACTGCCGTTCCTTTCAATGGATATGTGGAAGCTGATCGTCTATCGGACATCTTCGCTCTGTACGGTTATGATGAGTAGGTTGCAGTTAAACTTGGGTCACGAACTGTTGCGATTCGATACTCGCAACTTTGCCAGTACTCTACCCCGACGTTAAACATCTTTCATGGTTGAGGCAAGTCGTGCTTATCAACTCATGTAGACAGGAATCATCAGCGATACCGACGGCATTCAGCTGGTGATCTGTTAGTTAGATGTTTCAGAAGTCATAGGTGAAATCTAAGTACATAAAATTGTGGCGTCGAGCAGCGCCTTCTTGATTCAGTTGGTAGAAGCCCCTTCTGACAGTCAGTGTTTATGGTCAGATCTCACTTATAACCATCTGTTTTTTCATTCATGGAAACTGCCAAGTTGTCCCTTCATCCCTAAATACATTATGGACGGTGGCGCTTAATACTGACGGCTCTACGAAATCGTCACCAGGTTCGCTTGCTTTACGTTGTTCTGTGTATGGCTTGTATAAATGACTCAATTTTTCACTGTCTAAACTTCCCTATTGATCCGTAGCTGAAAAATTCGGTTGACAGTCACACTTGTTATTGATAGTTGCACAGAGAAGTTCTGTTCCGTTCGATCCGGACAGTTATTTGTCGTTTGTTCGGTGGTGTGTGCAAGCCTACCCCTCAGCTTCTCGCCGTTCACCGCCCCGTAACTTGGTACTTGTCTCTTCATTTTCGACACATTACTCCTCAGAGTACTTTCGAATGTTGCGTATGTATTATCGTTTCACCGCATTCCGCAGGTATGACGCTGGTTCCCATTACGTGTTTGCTGGTGACGCCAGTGGTCGAATTACATTATTGAGTTTGACCCACTCTGGTGGACATACAGAATGTCGCTCTGTTCGGGAGCTGCGTGTCCACGAACAGGGTGTGACTTCGCTGTCTTGGGATAGTCTAAATTCGAGACTATTTTCCAGCAGTAATAACCGTTCGGTCATTCTGTGGGATATTGGTGGTGCTAAAGGCACCGCCATCGACCTTCAGGTATGTTGCGAATAACATTTAGCAGTTCTCAGTCCTAAATGATTCGAGTTTTGAGCTGGTTGTTCTTTTTGGTGTATGCTAATTTGTGCATGCCCCGTGTTTCATGCCTTGCTCCTACTTTTTTCTCATCATCTATACATTAGTTAGGTCTGTTCATCCAGTTATTTGATTGATCAGCTTTGAAATTGTCACCGTAATACTACAACCAGGTTGCTAGTGTCTTGCTTGAGACTCTATGTTTAGGAGATTTGCTGGTCTTGTAGCCGAATTCTTCCGGAGGAACTCCCTATCCTATTGGTGAACACTTTAATCGGTATTAGATGGAAAGAATAGAGATTTAGGGTTCTTCATTTTCGGTTGACGCTGTTTGTTACTCGATCGGAGGCGGTAAGAGCTCCGGTGATAAGATTGTAGGTAAAGTCGAGCTGAAAACTGGTCTGCAGTAGTTCCGACAAAAAACTGAACCTATTTAGTTTTGAAATGTAGACTAGAGTGTTTGGGAAGTAACAGCGCAGTTAGAGGGTCATAGAGTCGGTAAGGTAGGTTTGATGAAGGACTATGGAGATATACTGTCCTCGTAGTTCTCGATTTGTGCGACAAGTTGTGACAAGTTATTGATTGCCTTGAAAGGAAAATGGTTGTGTAATGTTGTGAGCATGGAATCTTAAATGGGTTGGGTAAAGTTCCCTCAGTGACNGTAATGTAAAACAATGATATTTTAGTGGGACTACAATCCGTGGAAGTAGTTGTTCCAAGTTTGGTCTGCCAAAAGCGCACAGAGGCAACCTCGAGCGTGCTGAAGCTCGTGTAGGTCATTATCACAGCGATTAGTGGCAGTTGTAGAAGCGGTTAGGTGAACTTTTTACCACCTAGCCCGCAGTTCTTGTTCAAGTTCTTGCGTTTGTTCATTGGCGTTGTCCGTACCAATCACAGAATGCTATGGCTTCCCAAAAACTAAGCACCTTTTCAGTCCGGTCAGCTACGAATGAAGGACGCGGGTATCCCAACGTGCATATTTAAACAGCCACTACCACGCATAATTTGCATCTCATTAGAACTACTAGACTACAGATGCTGCCACATGTTCGCATTGCTTTTACTATATTCTGTCGTGGGTGGAAAATACCCGCGTACAGCAGAGAATAGAAGCAATGTTGAACAGATACTGATTGGTTATTTACACGAATCACTCTACCATTGCTAGGGTAGCCAAGTCCTTTGTTTCGATACCAGCCAGCTGCATGTGATGCCGACCACCATAGCGTGTGCCTTGCTCAAGAATGGACCTAGACCTATTTGCCCCGTAGTCTGTGGGTTTATGTGCACCTCTGGGGACATTTAAATTAGCAGGAGAGGCAAATATCTCGCGAAGCGCACGGCGAGGTGTGTAATCCGAATATTATCAGAACAACGGTAGTCAGGCCAAGGGTGATATCCAGACAGATTAGGCAAAGACCATCAGATTGACCCACTGAACTCATTTTGAGTTTTGTTGCGCAACAGAAACCTCAAGGTCTTAGCAGCAAGTGAAGTTCTATTGATCAAATCGCCCCTGTCCCGACCATGTACACAAAGGCCACCAAAACAGCTGGTTTGGTTTTCCTGACACTGGCCAAGTCTACAACAACAACTCACTGTCGTCCGACTTTGTCTCAACTGCTCATTTTGTCTACTGCGCACGTCAACGATTGAAAATACTTTAAGAAATGTCAGTCTGTTTCACCATGATGTCCACTCAGTCAGTTCTGTTACAGCGCTCGAAATAGCTCAGTGGCTAAGGCGCCAGCTTACTAACCGAAAGGTCCGTGGTTCGAACCCGACGTCTGCATCTCGACTACTCTTGTCAATGCTTGGACAACCTGGCATTATCTTGGCCCTCATGCCTCTTTCCATTGGCATGGCAGTTAGGCACCGAAAGGTTACTACAGCTGATCCATTATCTTACATGCATAAGTTGGAATTCCTGTGTGATGCAGGGCATGGAGAAATTGGTACAGACGGTTTGTATCCATGGTAGATAGGGAAGGTCCATTAACCCGCCTGGGGTGAATTAGGCGAAAAGCACACCAGCACAGTCCCGAAACGGTGCACAAGCACTACGGAAACCTTCGGGACACTAGCGTGAGAGTTGCGACGTCCATTGTACTTTCTGATCCTGTCCTTTGCAGGCTGACAGAGACATCTGTTGAATTCAAGCCTGATTCCGATTCCAGAAAAGATCTGTAGATCATGTTTTCACTTTGCAACAGGTTAATCAATACCGGCTGTTTCCATAAGCCAAAAGTGGTCACCTCCCTGTCGACTTCAAAACTGACTTCGACATTGTAGATCGTTAGGCACTATGGCAAAGGCGTTCCCCACAAGTTGTTGACCCTTCTTGAAGCACTGTACGCCAGTGTGAATGACAAGCTTTGTCCTGAATTCGCTGGACTCGGTAGTAGCCGGCGAGACCGTCCGCTTTCTCCTTGTCTCTCCCAAGTTGCTCCAGAGAGTTAGCTCATGGATGTCCGGTATACAAACGACACAACTCTTCTGGGATCCGACCCAACCGAAATGTAAGCAGTATTGAATAGTATGAACAATTGTGCGTCACATTTTGGTGTGCGCTTCACACCTGCGGAATTTAAAATGCTGCTACAAGACTGGACAGGCGCGAAATTGAACCTCATGTCTTCAGATATTTTTTTGCCTGGACGGTAGCATCGTTCCCGGTGGTTAGGAAAAACCAGATCGGCTTTTGCCAACCTGCTACATGTGTGGTGTGTATGTGACAACAACTTATCCGTCAAGAGTCAAATGTACAATGTTGCGATGAGCCGGTTATTGTTATATGAGTAAGAAATGTGGCTACAGCGAGTTGAAGACTTTTGGTAACGTCCTATGTTTGGCAGTTGTCTCTGGCGTACTGCGAGGGTCTGTGAGTTGGTGAGCCCGAGTTAATTAGCTATGTCATCACCCTCACATCACGGTACTTCTCCAACACCCATCACATTCACACCCAACATGAATGCCGTCTCCGTCCACCTTCCACCGTTTTGGCACCACGATCCCTCCATATAGTTCATTCAAGTCCAAGCTCAGTTCGCCCTCCGTGGAATCACTCAAGAACATACTATGTATTATCACGTTCAAGCGGTGCTTCCATCAGAGATAGCAACAGACTTGCGCGATATACTGCACATCCCTGACGACACTAAACCCTACACTCAATTGCGCAATACACTCATTAGACGTTACAATTTATCAGAACATAAGAGACTGGAACAGCTACTCAGCAGAGAATCACTGAACGAGTCCACCCCATCTCAACTTTCACGGAGGCTTTATAATATCATGGGTGACCGTAAAATTGATGACGCTTTATTGAAGCAACTCTTTCTTAAACGCCTACCTCCCCCCCAAGTACAAACCATTCTGGCGTCCATCCCCGATAGTGTCCCTTTAGCTGGACTGGCAAGCATTGCGGACAAGATACTCGAAATCCAACCATGTTCCGCTAACGTCTTTTCCGTAAACACCTCAGATTCGGTGTCTGCCCTTCACGATCGACTCGATCAGTTGGCTGATCAGGTCGCAGCTATTCGTATAAACCGACATCAACCATTTCGTCGTCCGCCTTTTCGTTCACGTTCAACTTCCCGGTCACATTCGTCCTCCCGAGAACAAGCATTTTGTTGGTACTACAGTACGTTCGGATATAGAGCCCGGAAGTGTTCACAACCATGTTCTTTCCGACCAAATTATCCCACTACTCAGTCAACGTCGGCAAACTCACGGGCCGAACTAGAGGCGAGCAAAGTTCTAAACCCAACCCATATAACCCGCCGTCTTACAATCATCGACAAACCCTCCGGTCTCAAATCTTTGGTAGACCCTGGGTCTGACATCAGCATTATCCCTGTAAGTGCCGTTTCCTGCAAACCCATCCCCTCTTCTTTTACACTTACAGCCGCGAATGGTTCTCCAATTAAAACTTATGGACAGCGCACTCTACGACTAAACCTTGGGTTACGCCGCGGTTTCCCGTGGATCTTCGTAATTGCTGACGTCCAGCATCCCATTATCGGCGCAGACTTCCTCACCCAGTTCAACCTTTTGGTAGACCTGAGACAACAACGTCTTATTGACGCAAATACTCAACTGTCTACGAAAGGACATTCTATCGTTCTGCCCTCCGTCTATCCAATCACATGTTTTAAAAGCGGCGATTCACCTTATCACGCACAAATAAATCAGTTTCCAGACTTGACTAAACCAAATTTTCATGAATTCAAACCAAAACACTCCGTTGTTCATCACTTTCATACGCGTGGTCCTCCGGTTTTTAAACGCCTACGTCGT